ATTATACAATTTTTGCATTTCTTAAGCGTTTTGGCACGTTTTTTTGGATAACACCAACACCACTGGTTTTCCTGAAACTCCTCCCAAAGGCTGTGATAATTTTTCTTTTTTTTTCAATGTATCATTGTATCAAGTTGTTGATAGTATGAAAAAAAGAGAAAGAAGAAGAAGAAAACATGGATATAATGATAATAACAAAATCTGCTAAAACTGAAAAATTTTAAAATATAAAAACAACAAAAATTTTACTATTAATAAACAAGGCGAGGAAAAAATTAGTCAAGAATTCGCAGCAATTCGGAAATTTTCAGGAATTCAGTTAGTTGGAGAAACTTTGAAGAAATTTGAAAAGAAAAGCACTTTTTGAATTTTTTGACCAGGTTCCTGGTTGTAGATAATAAATCAAAATTTTGTGAACAGTGTTGCCGGATCTACTCTGGTAATTTAGTGATTTTTTGGAAATGAAAAAAAATGTTCAAACTTGATTATTTTGCAAAAATTTCTTTAAAAAATCGAAAAACCACATACTTGTCGAAAGTGACAATTTAATTTTTTGAATGCTTAATTAGTTGGTTAATTAATTTCGTTAAAAACAAGTCCACAAATTCAAGAAAATTGATCAAAACCAAGTTATTTTTACAAAAATTAACACAAAAATAATACAAGAAACCACAAAAACCACAAAGGCTGTGCTAATTTTTCTTTTTTTTTTTCAATGTATCATTGTATCAAGTTGTTGATAGTATGAAAAAAAGAGAAAGAAGAAGAAGAAAACAAGGATATAATGATAATAACAAAATCTGCTAAGACTGAAAAATTTTAAAATATAAAAACAACAAAAATTTTACTATTAATAGACAAGGCGAGGAAAAAATTAGTCAAAAATTCCCAGCAATTTGGAAAATTTCAGGAATTCAGTTAGTTGGAGAAATTTTGAAGAAATTTGAAAACAAAAGCACTTTTTTGTATTTTTTGACCAGGTTCCTGGTTGTGGATAATAAATCAAAATTTTGAGAACAGTGTTGCCGGATCTACTCTGGTGATTTGGTGATTTTTTGGAAATGAAAAAAAGTGTTCAAACTTGATTATTTTGCAAAAGTTTTTTACAAAATCGAAAAACCACATACTTGTTGAAAGTGACAATTTAATTTTTTGAATGCTTTAGTTGGTTAATTAATTTCGTTAAAAACAAGTCCAAAAATTCAAGAAAATTGATCAAAAACGAAGTTATTTTTAGCAAAATTATCACAAAAATAAGACAAGAAATCGAAAAATCAACAAATTAAGACAAAA